CGCCTTGTACTTCGCGTTAAGCTCAATAAGTTGGTTATTCAGGGTATCGGCGATTGATTCGGATTCGTGAAGCCTACCCTGAACACCAGAAAGCTCATCCTGAAGTTTGAAATTCTGGTCGTACTGGTCCTGTAGCTCCCCCTTTATCTTCGCAAGCTCGGATGTTAGACTGTCGACCTTGTCCTCCAGATCGTGCTTGGAGCCGGTAGAAGAGCTTAGTTCAGCCTCAAGAGCAGAAAGTTTTTTCTTCCACGCGTCAATCTCCTTTTCCCGACCAATGACCAGCCCCTCATAATGTTCAATCATGTCATTAAGCTCACCGTTAGCCTGGCATTATGCATAAAACCGGGATGGTGAGTCATTTCGAAGAACGGCAGCATAATCGAAAAAATGAAGCGGAACTAACCCGAGATGAATGATGAGCATGAAGCAAATAGCGTTCACGAATCGCAGGGCGCCACTTGTCGAAGTCTGGCAAGATCGAACCCGATCGGGTCTTGAAGCATCGGAAGACGCTGCCTTCTTTCTCCATAGCTGCGAAGGAGGAAGAGTTATAAAAATTGGAATCTAAATAGAGACAAAAAACTTTTAGGTATGTGTAAATCACCAAACCTGAAAGCGATTTGACTTGAGGGACAAGAGCAGGCTTTAACCTCGAGGAAGGATCTCGAGATTCAGAATCTCCCTTTTTAGGAGATGCGCTCTGAACAGTCTTTTCGCTGTCAGGCTGGGAAGAGGAAGACATATCAACCGGTCGAGGAGGACCCATTGGTTCAGTAAGAGGGGATGATCGAGGTGAACGGTCAGTCCGGGCCCTTGACTTCTCCCTTCGCGGGGAAGAATCACTACGAGAGGACTTGTCTCTCTTCCTACGAACCAAGTTCTTAAGTGGTTCATTGCTAAAATCATCTCGGGAAGGACGAGGTGAATCACAGTGAGGAGATCGGTCCCTCCGAGGAGAACGTGCGTCACGACGATCGCGACGAGGAGTTAATCTGAAAGAAGCGACGGATCTGGCCCCTTCGGTACTGCCATCATCAACCAGCAGGGTCCTACTGTAGTCCTTCTTATCTATAGAAGCCGCAAGAAACTCTTTCTTCTCCTCACAAGCCTCAACTATCGGCTTGGAGAGCACCTTGCGCTTGGCCGCAAGGGCCCGAGATGACATCCCCTGAGTTGAGGGAGGAGGCGGAAGTTGGTGAAGTTGACCTGGGGGACTCATCCTGAGCTTGTGGTTGGCTTCTAAAAATCGTTCAAGAGTGAAAGAATTCCCAAGGGTTTCCCCTTTGAGAATTATTTTGAAGAATTCAATGAATGCTTCAGATGGGAGAGTCGGAGCGACGAAAGCTGCGAAATGAAACAACGGTTTTAGTCAATAAAGATAATAAAACAACCGGGAAAGATATGGGCGACCTAATCTCTACCAGGTTTCGCAGACGACTTCGGAGGGAGTAAATCTGCAAGATTTCCAATCGAAACGGGAGTTTTCTTAATCAGAAACCAAGGATGGTGCCAATTTTCATCCTTGTTCGAAAGATGCGAAATGATGTTCCTGTTGGCGTTGGGGTACGCGGAGAAATATCCCGCCTTCTTCGACGAACTCCTTACGCTAAGAAGTTCATTCAATTCGGGGACTCCGGTAACATACCCGGCTTCCGCCGCTACAGTTATAATCCCAAGGATGGTGCGAAGGAGGTTGGGGGTTAGTTGAGGCAAGGCAATCTCAAGGGCTGCCAAGTATCGGATTAAGGCTTCAGGAAGAGGAAAGGTTAGCCCGCAACCCTTGAAATAGACCTCATAAACACAGAAATAGCCGTCACGATGGCTTTCCGGAGATTCCATAGGACCGGGCAGCATCGATTCAGCCATGATTCCAGAAGGAATCTGACAGAGATCTCTCATTTGATTAAGAGATTGGAGAGTACATGTAGACATGTAATGTGGACCAGCGATGTCACCCGGGCGGGTGCACTCGTCGTTACTAGAGCCTCTTTCAAAGGATGGGGATTCGGGTCTCTCGGAATCAGAAGTCATCGGAGAAAAATGAAAAATTCAAGGTCCGGCGAAGAAGGGTTCGGCGAAGAAAAGAAGAGAGAAGTTTCAAATAAAGCGCAAATGTAAAAGTAAAAATGATGATGAAAGAAGTTACCTCACGCAAGCTAGGTGATAATGATGAAATCGCCTCGGGAATCGTGGGGGAAGTGGAGAGGTTTTTTCGCTTTAATAGTAAATAATTAATATACGGTTATAATGGCGCCAGATGTCACGCGGCCAAATATGGGTAGCACCGAGATTAAAGGACTGACGGGATCTTGGCGGGAAATCAGAAGATTCCTCAAAGCGCAATCTTTGGTCATTAAAGCATTTAAGTCCTCCGAATTGGAATAGCACTTCGAAAGACTTGGGGGGCTAATTGTTGGTGTCGGATCCCGCACCAGTAGTCCGGGACCAACCAAAGATTGCCACGTATTCAAGGTAACGGCCCACGAAGAACAAAGCCCATTAGATCCGTGAGTCGGAGAAACAGCCGAAGTGGTTATCACCACGAGGAGAATCCGAAGTGATTACACCTCGACATGAGTCCAAAGACGAAGTCGCAGTTAAGTCGGTCCAAGGACATTTTGGGCCAAAAAGGCGAGGCCCATGGAGATCGGAGTCAACTCAAATTCGAACGTTGAGCATTAAAATCAAAGATCAAAACGGACGCATTTAAGAGAGAATAATTGTATTTAATTAGCCATTTAAATGTCATTTTTCTATGTATAAATATGGAGGCCAATGGCCATGTAAAGGGGATCTCTCTAGAGAAAGAAATACTACAGCAATTTTTAACAATTCATAAGCTTTTTGCATATTTATTTTTGTCCCTCAAGAGTAATCTTTCCTACTTAATAAAAATACTTGAGTGTGTGAATCCGACTTCCACAACCACCAGCAGCAGAAAATCAAATTCAAGAAGTTTCGCAAGTAACCGGAGCTGGAGAGGTTACACCAGTTGGAATGCCCAGGCCTCGTAATCCACCTTCATATTTGCGAGATTATACAACAGGGGAGGAGTTGTCGGAAGAAGAAGAAGAAGAACTTAGTAATATGGCCATGTTTGTATCATCCGATGATCCAGCCACCTACGAAGAAGCAAGGAGAGCTGTTAAGTGGTTGAAAGCGATGCATGCTGAGTTGGAATCGATTGAGAAAAACGAGACATGGCAGCTCACAGAATTACCTAAGGGAGCAAAAAGAATTGGAGTTAAGTGGGTGTACAAGACAAAGCTAAACGAAAAAGGCGAAGTAGACAAATACAAAGCAAGACTTGTTGCTAAGGGGTATGCTCAGCAACATGGTGTAGACTACAATGAGGTTTTTGCTCCAGTGGCTCGGTGGGACACTATACGAATGATATTAGCTTTGGCAGCTCAGAAAAATTGGTGCGTGTTCCAGTTGGACGTCAAGTCTGCGTTTCTATACGGAGAACTTTCTGAGGATGTCTATGTTGAACAGCCACAAGGTTACATCAAAGAAGGAGAAGAGCACAAGGTTTACAAGCTTAACAAGGCGTTGTATGGTCTGAAGCAGGCACCGCGGGCATGGTATAGCAGAATCGAAGCTTACTTCACCAAAGAAGGATTTATGAGATGTGAGTATGAGCATACGCTGTTCATAAAAACAGAGGAAGGTAACAAAATCCTCATTGTGAGTCTTTACGTAGATGACTTGATCTTTACTGGAAATAATCAAGTCATGCTTGAAAATTTCAAGTCATCTATGAAAGAAGAATTTGATATGACTGATTTGGGCCGAATGAAGTACTTTCTTGGTGTTGAAGTGGTGCAAGATGATGAAGGGATTTTCATTCATCAAAGAAAGTACGCTGAGGAGATCTTAGAAAGGTTCAATTTGCAATGTGGCAATGCGGTTAAGAATCCAATTGTTCCTGGTTCAAAGCTCTCAAAGGAAGGTGAGGGAGGTAAGGTGGATGCAACTCTTTATAAACAACTAATTGGGAGTTCAATGTATATCACTTCTACCAGACCCGACATCATGTTCTCGGTGTGTTTGTTGAGTCGGTATATGGGCGATCCCACAGAACAACATTTACAGGCTGCAAAAAGAGTGTTGCGGTACTTGAAGGGAACGCAATCTTTTGGAGTGTTCTATAAAAAAGGAGGTGGTGAGGAGCTGACTGTCTACACCGACAGTGATTACGCTGGAGATACGGATGATAGGAGGAGTACAAGTGGGTATGCATTTATTTTAAGTGAAGGAGCTGTGGCTTGGGCGTCCAAAAAGCAACCTGTGGTTACACTATCAACAACTGAAGCTGAGTTTGTGGCTGCAGCTTTTTGTGCTTGTCAATGTGTGTGGATGAGAAGAATCTTAGAAGAGTTTGGTTTGGAGCAAGCAAAGAGTACTACGATTCTATGTGATAACAGTTCAACCATTAAGTTGTCTAAGAATCCGGTGCTACAGGGGCGGAGTAAGCACATTGATGTCAGGTTTCATTTTCTAAGGGATCTCACAAAGGAGGGTGTAATTCAGCTGGTGCATTGCGGAACAGAGGACCAGGTAGCAGACATTTTTACTAAACCATTGAGGCTGGAAGTGTTTGTCAAGTTAAGAGAAAAGCTTGGAGTTTGTGACCGGAGCTTGGAGTCGGAGTAAACTGAATGCTACTGCTTTCAGTTTAGGGGAGGCATTGTTGGGTTTGATTTGGTCTTTGTTAGTTGCAGAGTGGGGAATAAGATCTGATTAAACAGGGGTCAATTAGTTGTCCTAGTATTTCGTTTAGTTTCTGTTTTGTTTCCTTTAATTTCGCTTTCAAGTATTTGTAGAAGACTGAGTCTTCGTCTCCAAGCTATTTAAAGCCAAGCAAGCTATCATAATAAAGTATCAAAGCATTCAGCTTTTGTATGAGTATTATCTGAGACCAACACTTACATGTAGTTATAGTAGACTTAATAGTTTCTGATAGAGTAACATCACAGACATGGTTTCTCAAAAAGCTACAGTACTGGTCGTAAATGAGAAACCCTTTTAAAGTTTTGATTATTTCGCTGCTCAACTTCCATTAAACAAATTAGAGAAGCTAAAATCTAGAAACTAACAAAAAGAGAACGGAAGGTTGAAGAAAGAACCTTGAGTAAGGAGACGATTAACAGCTTCATCAGGATCCATATCGCACTCAACAAGCATCGCATAGATCTCTAAGTCAGAACAGTTGACAATCTCCTTCAAACTCTGGACAACCTTCCTCGACGACGCCGAAACACCTGCGTTTGCGTTAGTAACGCCGCCGCCACCAACTCGACCGCCCATTATTTCTCTCTCTCTCTCCGGATTACCGGAAAACCAAATCAGATCTGAAGCTGAATGTGAGTATCAGGTTTGTTTCATTTCAAATTTGATCTGGTTTACTTCAAAAGCTTACTGCTTTAACACATTTAACTAGTGTTCTGAAGCTGATCAATAATTTAGCTAGAATCCTTGTAATTGGATATATTCATCTAATACTGTTGTTTAGAGTTCTAGAATGTGATCAATTGGATTAGTGGAAGTGAGATGTAAAGCACTAGACTTGGACTTCTCTGCTCAGTTTCTTTTCCCTGCAGGCTTATACTAATCACTGGGAACATACTTCTTATCCCAAATTTCGTTGATCTTCTTGGATATGTTGTATGTATGTATACAGGTTTGTGGTGGCTAATGAATTTCAAATCGGATATGTTGAATTTCAAATCGGAGATGTTGACGTTGTTAGATATATAAGAGATTTTGGATTTAGGATCAAATTACTCAGAGATTCAAGACAATGAGGGTAAGTTTTGTTCTGAATTCTTGATTTTGTGTTTGGAGATTAAATATTTCAAAGATAAGAATGAACTGTTAATTTGCTAAATCAGCTAAAAATTTGTCAGAAAAAGCGTTTGCATTCAGGTAACTTGGCTTCCCTTGTACTTAATTGAATTATAGTAAAAGTTTTTGAAAGTTTTAACTTGTGGTCTGAGACAGAGCTTCCAAGAAAGAAGAAAGTGAAGAACATTCGAGAAGCACCAGTTTCTTCATCAGACAACTCATGTTTTCTGCCTCTTGTCACAGCTTCGAGTCTATGCACAGATACACTGGTATTTACTTTACTCCTTCATTGAACCACAATCTCATTCTAATAGTTTTTGCTTATTGTGGTTTATAGGGTTGAGTAATTAGGTGTAATTGTCTAATTGTCTACAACTCCTATTTTTCATGCATATGCATATAAAATCATGTAACTTAAGAAACTGTTTGTTCACGTTTGCTATATATTATTGTGGAGTTGGTTGGTTAGTCATGAAACTAAAGAAAGAGTCATGAGGAAAGTCTGAAAATGCTTGTGATATGCAAAGTCGCCTCTTAAGTAAATTAATCTGATTCTTGTGCGTAATCTGGTGCTTGCAGTATCTTCCACTACATTTCACAAGCTTAAATGGTTTTACAAGAAAATACTGCAAGATTCTTGAGGGAGAATGGTATTAAGCCTGGAGAGATGTGACACTCAAAAAGCGTCGTATATATGCAACCGTTTAATACCAGTAAAAGGTGTTGTAATTAACAGACCAAATAGCGACGATTTTGTGACATACTAATGTTCTCGTATAATAGAGACGGTATTGTTACGTGCATACAGTCTCAATTTGTAACGTTTTAACTACTAATTTTGTCGAGACATAATTCAAAAATAAGTGACTAGTACTTGATCGCAAAAGTGTCAAATTAACAACCAAAATGTTCAATATATAGTCACAAATCAGTGTGAATATACCATCTGTTTTGTGACTATCCTTATAGAAATATTTTTTTTTAAAAACGCTGAAACAAAATGAAACCAAAAACATCCTAACAAATCCAAATCCAAAAACATCCTAACAATTCCAAATCCAAAAACATCCTAACAAATCCAAAGCAAGATAACAAAAGATAAGAAATTAAGTCTTAGATAAGGGAGAGGAAGATGCAGTAAACAAAGGAGATGTGGCTGATCCTGTTGGTAGTGCAGTGGCTGGTGCAGTGGCTGGTGCAGTGCCTTGTCCAGTGGCTGGTACAGTGCCTTGTCTAGTGGCTGGTCAGTTTCAGGTGGGATGATTGGTGGTTGACGCGCCAAAAAGTCTGCAAACTGGGGATCATTGGTCTTCAAGTATGAGACAATCATCTCCAAGCTTGAGATCCTACTTTGAGCTATGCGTGGCTCCGCCTCACGTTGAGAATTGATTAAGTCTTGCTCAGCTATCTTTCGACGAGCAGCCTGAATTTGTTCTTGCATCTCTGACAAGGATGATGAAGAGCTTGCACAACTTTCTTTTCTCTTCCTGTTGTTGACAGTCTCTCTAAGTCTTCCAAGTCCAAAAGGGTTTCCCTTATCAGCTGTTATGGTACACTAAAGCAACAAAAAGAAACGTTAAGAAAACAAGACAAAATGATGCAGAAAAACAGACATAAGAAGCAATAAAAACGCTTTAGTAAGCAATGCTAAAGATAAGTCAGACTTCTCAAAACCAAGCATAAGCAAAAACCAGACTTATGCAAAAACCAGACATTAACCAGACAAAAACAAGAGAAAAACAAGACATAAGCAAAAAACTAGACAATTAACATCATCAAAATCAGCAAAAGTATAACAAAATCCAGATTAACATCACCAAAACGTTACAGTCATAGAAATAAGACAAACACGGCTTCCACCTCTGCAGGACTTGGCGTTGGATTGAATGCTTTTCTGTCCCACAATATTCCTATTACATGAATTACTCTAAGCAGATGCTGCATTGGAACATGAAACACAGATAAGCAAAATATTGTTTAGAGTTGGAGAACTATGCATCTTTCACTTCATAAAAGCTAAAGAAAGCTTGGTATGGGGCAGGGAAAGATTACAGTTGTTTCAAATAGATACCTTTATCTGCTGAAGGCATAGGAAAATGAACTCCCATACGCCAAAAAGCATAAAGGAATGCTGACAAGAATAAGAAAGCCCCAGCAGAGGCACGCTCCCTTCTTACACCTGAAATGTTATTTTAACTTGGCAAATTACAGACAGTCCACACTAAATGATGTAGCATGTAGCAGCAAACTGGTAATCAAGGAATTAATCAGAAAAAGAACAAAGAATTCAACAGCTGTTAAGGCAATAAAGCGATGCTTTCTCAAAATTCATTTATCTCCATCTAACTGAACTCACGAGTCTTTGTGAAAGAAGAAACAAAAGCCAAAGATAAGGATTACGATTATTCTAGCAATAAGATGAAACTGATAAACCCAAAGACTGTTTATACAGCTGCACACAAGTGTTCTCTAAGAAAATCCCAGTTAAATAGCATTTGTATAACAAAAACGCTTTCAGGAACTCCTAAGAAACTTGCAATGACACATTAACCAATTATAATGATTACCATCTAAACAAGAAAAAATAAGAAAAGAGAACAAATAAAGAAACTTCACAAGCGGAATAAAGCTTACCACTATTACGAAGCATGGTAATAAGATAATAGAACAAACAAAGAAACTTCACAAACTTGATGCTACTATGTTGACTGCAACTAGTGGATTGGGTTAGAGTACTCAACTACTCATATAACAACCAAAATCAACAAAATCAAGTACCCAATAGAAAAGTATATTCAAGTAGAGAAGAGGGAGGCTTATAAATGAAGTAAGTTGAAATCAAACCTTACAAATCCTTGGCTAAAAAACCAATGCTATAAAAATAAAAAAATAAAGGGTGAAAATTTACTAAACCCAACACTAGAAGTGAGCAAGAACTGAAGAAGATAATTTAACCCACAGATTAATCGGCAAATCGAAACCACAAAATTGTCTATTCTCCAGATCCAATCTACAAACATTGTAACAAGCAAATAACATTCCAGTTTTTCAACTAAGGAACTAGAGATAGATACAAAAACCTGAGTACGGGACCAAGATTATATAAAGAAGAACCTTGTGAAGGTACTGAAACCTGGTTGTGGCCGCGAAGATGAACAACGAAGAAGACTGAAGCAGAGAGAAAAAAACAGAATGATTAAAGGGTTTTTGCTCGGTGCCTGTAGTAAGGACGAAGTAAAGACTTATAAAAGAGAAATCATTACAGCGTCGTGATACAGAAATACTACAAGAAAACACGTCGTAACTGACGACCAAATTCGTCGGTAATCCGACGGGCACAAGACGGATTACCGACGGGCACTAAAACAAAACCGACGGAAAACCGACGAATGATTAAAAAAAAACTATATTAAAATAAATACAGTAAATCAAAATTATTAAATTAAATTATCATTACAAAAATAAAATTAATAATTAAATAAAATTAAAATTAAGAATTTTATTTATAATAAAATAAATTTAAAACAAATTATTCAAAATAAATTATCCAAAACAAATTATTCGAAACAATAATTAAAATGCGAACTAAGAACTAAAACCGGGAAATCGCATACGCATCTCTTCCATGAAACGCATCATCTCTTCGGCTCTACGTTTGTTCTCGGCTTTCTCCTCGGTCATCTCTTTCTCCAAAGCGGCAATCCATGATTACCGACGGTTTAGGGTATATATCAATAAATATCATCTAGATTAAATGATTGACACGTATAATCAATATTAACACTTAAATTAGACTATTTAAAAGTGTATATATGTATCTCTCTTACTTACAAAATTTTTTAAAAATTTAAGCATATCATCTAATCAAACCTATTTCATAAGTAACATTACAAGTTTAAGAAAACTTATTATGAATCCATTTTCAATCTTGTAAACCAACATATAGCACTCGATATAACCTATTTTTGAAACTCTTATTTATTTAAAAAGCATCAATGAATGTTTGCGGACATGTGTAGCTAATTTGTTTTCAATTTCTAAACCCTAAACCACAAATCGTCGGTTTTTTGTTAGTATTCCGTCTGTAATAACCGACAGAAAACCGACGGATATATTTAATATTCGTCGGTAATTACTGACAGATTACCGACGGAACATCATTCGTCGTTATTCTGTCGGTAATCTGTCGGTAATTACCGACGGATCTCGGTTCGTCGGTAATTCCGTCAGTTAAGACTCAGAGCAAAAAAATCATATACCAAAGAATGTGAGGATATTAAATTTGAAAAGAACACAAGAAAATGAAACCAAATTTAGAAGTGGCTACATCAGATTTGACTAGTTTGCTTGCTTTTAACTTCCTGACCAAAGCTTTATCTCTGTTTCAGTCTCTGTCTTCATAGCTTCTGCAGCTTTTGACCTCTCAAGCCATTCCAAAATGCGGCTGCCTTGATCGCTTTCTTACCAGAAGGCCGGACTTCTAGTACCTGAATCGCAACACCAAATTTAGCTTTTTAGATGATAGATTAATGTCTGATTACCACATCATAACATCTGCCTTTTGTATCAATAGTTAGTGAGTCTGTAACTTAGTTGATTTAGAGAATAGTGTCACTGATTACCTCTAAAGCTGTATCTCCTTTGCAGGGAAACATTAGTGAACCTTTCTTGAAAGTTACATAATCTTGTTCACCATCCCAGATTTCCAAAGCTTGACATACTCGAGTGGTGATGATTTTAAGCTCGAGCACCTTTTCCTGACTGCTTTTGTCATCGAAGACTACAAATTTAGCGCATGTTCCTGGCCATCCTGCGAATGCACGAACCTAAAAAGCGGTATTACTTTATATATATATGATTGTAGACTAATTGAACTTAATGAAGAGTTCTATACCTTGTTATGCAGAACAAAAGCTTCCTGGTCAAAAGAGAGCCAAGCCTCATCTGGAGCCAACTGTGCATCAATTGAATAAACGTTATCTCATACAGGAAGCAATATAGCAGCATTGCCTTATATTTTTTTGTGCCCTATTGTGAATGATACAAGACACACAACAGATACCTTTGGAGCTAAGGTAGCTTTAGGATCATCTTGGGGAACTGCTTTTGATTTTGCGGACCCATCGAGTATCGAGGGAAGTTACGGATAAGAAGCTTAGAACCTGCAAAGTTTATCTTCGCTTAGGTCCTAATCATAGAACCCAGTTATGTTCAAATAATTGTTACTGAAAAACATGAATTAACCTATAGAAACTAGGAACGAGAGCAGTTCTGGTGCCTGCAAATGATTCAAACAGAGGTCATTAAGATCCCGAAAACATAATAAGATGGGATAAAGCGAATACCTTAATTAGATCATCCACTTGAAACCTCTTAGAGGCAATCACTGGCCCTGAATCTAACTTACGCACCACCGTAAATGCTAATGTTACTCCTGTTTCAGGGACACCATCCTAGTGCAGCCACCAAGTGTTATTTTGCACACTTGATTCAAGAGTCTTATCATGTAGTAAGTAAAAACATGAAGAGTGAAAAAAGAAAATTTGCACCTGTAATGCTCTTTGAACTGGAGCAGCACCACGGTAAAGGGGCAACAAACTTGGGTGCATGTTCACTGTCTCTAAACCATTAAATAATGGCTTCAAAACACAAGACTCATTTGCAGTATATAGAAACAACATTAGGTTACATCAACCATCTATTATATATTATATAATTCTTACATACAAGTTTTTAAAAGGGAGAATTTGTGCAGAGGTAAAAACAGAGCAAGTAATTTGCGAATCGGTAAATGTTTTTTTTGTCTCAAACAATAGAAAAAACACGTAACAAGTGGCCCTCAATTTCTCAATAATAACGAAAAAACCATGTTGATTTTTTTGATATGCGCGTGACAGACGCTTTGACTTTTGGGAGAGAATAAAAACGAACTGACAGACATTAAATGCTCAACACGTGAACTGACTCTTACCAAACTAACAATAATTGTTTGTTTCTCGAATTAGAGCAATTTTAACACGATACAAACATATATTACACGATTTTAATACTTATACACATGTAAACACATAAATAGAGCGTTAAAAGTTATTATAGTGTTAAGCTATTGGATCTATGTATATATGTAAATATATACATATACACACATATATATAATAGAACGTTATTAACATTTATATACAAGTAAACACGTATATAGAGCGTTATTAACATTAAAATACATGTAAGCAAGTATATAGAACGAACGTTATTAGCAAGTAAAATACATATATATATACAAGTAAACACGTACATAGAGCGTTATTAACATTAAAATACATGTAAGCACGTATATAGAACGTTATTAATATTTATATACATATAAACACGTAGATAGAACATTGTTAACATTTGTGTACATGCATGCACGCTACAAAACCACTCATATTCGTCTAGGAAGAAACAAAAAAAACTTCGTCGGTTTACTAAGCGCGTGAGGCTAAATATGGAAAGAGGATGGGCTAATGTTAGAATTGTTTTAGACCTCGACAAGATTTTATCAAAAACTAATTTCATCCCAGATCTTTACTTGTGAGCTAATTATCTCTTTTTAAAATTTGTATGTTCATTTTTATTTTCTTACTCAACATAATCTCATATTATAAAAAATTTCTCATTTCTACAGCAATATAAACACACTTATTTCTATGAAATATGAAACAATAAATAAATACAATAAATCTTAAAAGATATAATTCATACAAAATTTTGCAATCACACAACTTTAAAATTCTTACACAACAAAAAATATAATATATCATATTTCAATATTTCTAACAATAAACAAAATTTACAAACCAACACAAATATTTACACATATATATATAAAGTACTTACACACTTTCAAAACTATTTAAATATAAAACAAACACAATAAGATGATACGTAATATACACACGGGGTACATTGATGCTTACTAAATTGTCATCTCATTTTTCTGTATAATTAGAATTAGTCAAACATAAAAAATACTTATCGCACAATGAACAATATATATATATAGATTTCTATATATACATTCTAATTACATATGTAAATAGGTTATATATATATATATATATATATATATTGTTGGGTTCGGATTCCATCCACGTTAAGATCGAGCCAAAACATGACACCTCGGGATCTACCACCAGAACGGCTCGGGGAACTATGACTAGGCCAGCTCGGGATCACTCGCCGAACTGGCTCGGTAAACGACGATCAAATCGGCTCGGGATCAATCACCGAATCGGCTCGGGTTAGGACATGATTAAACCGGTTCGGGTCATCCTGCTTCAGCTCGGAAACGAGACCCAGAATATCCTCACCCGAGCTGAATTCTCCCTTCGTCCCGAGCCGATTTGGCAAAATCACCCGAGGCAAAGAACCAAGTCACCCGAGGCAAAAAGGACTTCGTTCACCGAGCAGAAATTCATAGAGTGTCCCGAGGCAAAGACTTAGTATTCGCTTTCAAAGTACCATTTCCAAGCAAGGCATCATTTCCGAACAAGAAGGATCATTTCCGATAAATCCGGAAATGATAAAGAAGAATCACGAAGGATCAACTTAAATCAGGAAATCTTCCAAAAACTCCGAAGAATAAGGAAATTATCCTGATCCGCGATATTCTACACCGACTTCAAGATAAATGGAAATCTTCCGATAATATCGCTGGAGAGGCGGTTTATCACCCCTATAAAAAGAGACTCAAGGCTCTCGCAGAAAGCAAGCAATATCGCTCTAGGATTTACACTACGCAAAGCTCTCACAGCACAAACATCTTTTTCTTTTACGATCAAACTCTTGTACGATCAAAACTACTCTTTTCATCAATAAGATCGAGAACACCATCTTTGGTTACAATTGTTTCTGTTGTTCTTTGAGAATTCACATTTATCGTATCCCTAAATTAAAACCCTAGACAAATCTCGATTGTGTTAGTTTCGATTTCCACAATTTGGCGCCGTCTGTGGGGATACTTTAGAATTCTCTTACCCTAAGACGCAGAACTCGATTACCGAAAAGGACGATGAACGAAGACGGTCGTCAAACACCACCAGCCGGAAGAGGGAACCCTAACCCTCCGAACCCTCAGAATCCTCAAGCCGATCCGACGATCATAGCGACTCTAGCCGAACTGAAAGATCTGATGGTTAAATTCCAGAAGAAAGCTGACGACCAAGAGAGAGCTAACAAAACCTTGGCGCAGCGAGTCGACGAAATCGCAACACGTGGGCCACAAAAAACCACGTGTTTCCAGACTCGGCCGCCACGAGCTCGGAGGGACTTGCCTGGCATCAACCCAACAAGACTCACGTTCGCGACACCAACCGACAACACCAGAGTCACAACCCGAGCCGACCCTGCCAGACGCGAGAACCAAGATGATCCCACCAAGCCAGACGCAGTGGACTTGACGGACGAGCCAGATGATCTGCAAGATGAGCGTACCCGAGCCGGAGCTAACTCCGCCGAGCGAACAGATCTCACTGACGATGAAGAAACTGAGGAGAACATAAGATGGGCCGAAGAATCCGAAAGGGAGGACGAGCTCAGCAAGATCCGAGCCTCCCTAGCCAAGGAGGAAGCTGATATGAAGCTCGTCAAAACCCAGATACATAGCGTTTCATCCTCTGCACCAAACATCGACCGAATTTTAGAAGAATCTCGGAATACGCCCTTCACCAAAAGAATTTCCGAAACGACGATGTCCAATCTGGGGAAGTTCAAAATCGACTCCTACAACGGATCAACCGACCCGAAGAGTCACATTAAATCTTTCGTGATATCCGTAGCCCGAGCCAGGTTCAAGCCCGGGGAGAAGGATGCAGGTCTATGCTTGCTGTTCGTGGAACACCTCAAAGGACCCGCATTAGAGTGGTTTTCTAGATTGGAACGAAACTCGATTGACAGTTTCGACGAGCTGTCGACACTATTCCTCAAACAATACTCCGTCCTCATCGACCCCGGAACCTCCGACGCGGATCTGTGGTCCCTATCTCAAAAGCCCACCGAACCGTTGAGAGATTTCCTCACAACCTTCAAATCGATGCTAGCCAAGGTCGAAGGAATTACAGATGTAGTCGCTCTTTCGGCTTTGAAGAAAGCTCTCTGGTACAAGTCAGAATTCAGGAAAGAGTTGAACCTGTCTAAACCGACAACAATTCGTGACGCGCTGCATCGAGCCTCGGATTTCGTCGCCCACGAAGAAGAGATGGCGCTGCTAGCAAAGAGGCATGAGCCAACGAAACAGGCGCCCCGAGCCGAGAAAACCGAGAAAGCCCAAGCGACACCTCCGGTCCAGAAGAAGACGCGTGAAAGCGGTACGTATACGCATCACGAAGGGCGCAATTTTTCAGGATACCATAACTACCAGATTGACACGCCCCGAGGCCGTGGCCGCGGTAGAGGCCGAGGCCGTGGGCAAGGAAGAGAGTCCTTCAACTGGACAAGGGATCAGCCACCGAGCAATGATCAAGAATATTACGAACACCACAAAATTTTCGGCCACCATACCTCGAGATGCCGAAGCCTCGGAGCCAAGTTAGCAACCAAATTCCTAGCTGGAGAGCTCGGGACGAACGTCACTCTTAAGGATCTCGAGCCAGAGCCAGAGCCCGAGCAGACCAACCCGGGAAGAGACCCCGAACCAAGGAACCAGGAGTCTCAGAAAAGAACCCAGGGGTCGGAAAACGAAGACCGAGATGGTACGCGGCAGAAGGTTCTTACCATAATGGGTGGATCGCCATACTGTCCTGACACCGTAGCGGCAATCAAAGCTTATTAACGTCGAGCCGAGATGCCTAGCAACTGGACAAGACGCTTCGATCGACCTAACGACGTGATCACATTTGAAGAAAGCGAGACAAACGGGCTCGACATGCCTCATAACGATCCAATCGTCGTCACATTAGCGATAGGAGACCATGATATCTACCGAGTATTAATTGACACCGGCAGCACCATCGACGTAATCTTTCGCGAAACGCTCCGACAAATGAACATCGACATGTCACAGGTGATTCCGACCCCGAGGCCTGTCCTCAGATTTTCAGGGGAAACTTTGATGACGCTTGGAACCATCCAACTACCAGTCCGAGCCGGTGGGATAACAAAGATAGTCAACTTCTTAGTCACCGATCAACCTACCATCTACAACGTCATAATGGGAACTCCGTGGTTAAATCTAATGCGAGCTGTCGCATCAACATATCATCTGTGTGTCAAATTCCCGATCCCCAATGGCGTGAAAACGATCTGGGGCAGTCAGAAAAATTCTCGGATGTGTTTCATGGCAGCACACAAACTCTGAAACCTGTCACTGAAGCGAAGGCTGAAACCGATCACAAGAAATCAAAACTTGGCCGGAGTGAAGAGAAGGCTATATCTAAACAGTTATAGCAATTACAGATCGAGGAGGCGCGCGAGGAGAAGAAGCCTACCTCGGATCCTGTAATCTCCATTAGCCTCGACGACGAACGGCCTGAACGATGCGTGGAAATTGGCAGCGACTTAACCGAGGAAATCAAGACCGAGTTCATCTCATTCCTCAAAGAGAACATCAACACCTTCGCCTGGTCGGCTGAAGATCTACCTGGGGTAAGCATCGACGTAATCTGCCACGAGCTGAATGTTGACCCATCTTTCAAGCCCATCAAGC